GCACCAACTATAGCTCTTGCTTCACCTTCTGATCTTAAAGATATTTCTCATCGACATTCAATGATCACTAGGTTCCAGCTTGGCATCCATAACAGGGTTTTGAAAATCAGCCGTTACGGTGCGTAACGACCGTTATATAACGGTACTGACGAGTTCCGATCCCGTTACACCCTGCTATAGCGGGTAGAATAAATTTCACGTCAATAACGGCCGTTATGTAACGGGATGTAACGGGCGTTATGAGAGCGTTACAGTCTGTTACGCTGCCGAAACGGTCTATTTTTATAGCTTCTGCTGTTCATCCACGACGATTTTATGGCTGAAAGAGATGACCGACTAAAAAGTCGGCGAGTGAAATTTTGTATGTTGAGAATTGACATGCTGTCGTGGGTTGGCAGATTTTTGGAAAGACAAAAATCAAGTAGAGCAAATTCTTTCTACAACTTATATATTGAATGACTGTTATTCATTATCAACAAATTTAGTCAATGAATAGATGACAAGTGTCATATTTTTTAATAATGTGAAAGAGGGGTTTTAAATAGATTAAAAATTTGTAGGTTTTGGGGTCTTTCTTGTACAAATTTACCAGCTAATAATTTTTATTTATAATTGCAAATTATTTTTATTTTATCCCAATGATCTCAATTTATTTTGATTACAATTTTTAAATAATATAGATATTAATTGCTTAAACTAATTTACTTTCATTTGCTCTAAATTTGGATTAATTAAGCAATTTAGCATATCAAAATAATGAATATAATAAAAAATTATTATAAATTACAAAAAAACTGAGTTTTATTTTATTTTGGTCCAAATATATAGAAAATTTTGATTTTTGCAGATAGTTGTGAATGAATTAATAAAATTCACGACTCCGATTTCCGTTACTGTTACGTAACGCCCGTTACATCCCGTAACCGTTATACCGTTATGGATACCGTTACATCACCCATTACCGTTATACCGTTACCGATACCGTTACATCACCCGTTACCGTTATTCAGAACCATGATCCATAAGCCCAATTCCAAATATAGAAATTTCCTTGCTACTCGAGCTCATAGAAACATTGCTTTTGCTCCACAATCAATAACAACAGCTAAGCGTCATCACGGATGGGCCATTGCCATGGAAGAAGAATTGGATGCACTTGCTGCTAATTCCACTTGGACCCTTGTTCCATCTAGCACCAACATGAACAATGTCAATTGCAAATGGGTTTACAAGGCTAAACTTAACTCCGATGGTTCACTTGAGCGTCTCAAAGCTCATCTCCTTGCAAAGGGTTTTAATCAGGTTGACGACCTTGATTTTTCTGAAACATTTTCCCCATTGTCAAACCCGCAAGCATTCGCCTCGCTTTTACAGTTGTTATTGTCAAAAGTTGGGAAATTCGACAACTTGAAGTGAAGAATACTTTTTTCCATTGCTATCTATCTACCCCTAGTTATGTCGATGCGTCTTCACCAACTCAAGTGTGCAAACTTAGCCGCGCTTTGTGTGGCCTCAAACAAGCCCCATGGACATGGTTTGATCGGCTTAGTATTCTATTCTTAGCATTGGTTTTTATTGAAGTAATGGTGACCCCAACTTATTTATTTGCAAATCACATCACGACATTCTAGTTTTACTACTCTATGTCGATGATATGTTGGTCACTGTCCATGATGTATTACCTGGTTAATATCTAAATTGACTAGTGAATTCTCTATTAAAGATTTGGGGTTTCTCCATCATTTCCTTGGCATCGAAGTCCATCGACTACCTACATGTTTATATATCTCCCATACACGTTATGCCATGGATCTTTTGAATCGTGGTCATATGGAATCTGCCAAACATATTTCCACTCCCATGCCCGCCAAAGGGTAGAGTTTACCTCTCTCTGATACACCGCATCCCAATCCCACTCATTATCGTACTATTGTGGGTGATTTGCAATACTTTACTTTTACTTGACTTAATATCTCATACCACTTTAATATTGTCAATTTATGCATGCTCCAACCATGGCCCACTACTAGCTTGTCAAACGAATTTTACGTAATATAAATGATATTGCTCATTTTGGGTTACGAATATTAGTTTCTAGCATTCTTGACCTTTATGCATTCTCTGATGCGGATTGGATTGGTTGTCCCTTCAATCGCCGCTCTACCACTAGTTTTTGTACTTTTCTAGGAGGCAACTGTATCTCTTAGAGTGCTAAAAAACAATCCACAATCGCTCGCTCGAGTGCAGAGGCAAAATATCGTTCAATGGCCTCCACTGCCGCAGAACTCACATGGTTACTTTTGTCCTTCGTGATCTTAATGTTTCTCTTTCAAGATCGCCAATTCTACATTGTGATAAGATTAGTGCTCTGCACATGACCATTAATCCGGTTTTTCATGGGAGATCCAAACACATTGAGTTGGATTACTATTACATTCGTGAAAAGGTGGCACTTGGTAATGTTGAAACCAGATTCGTCTCAATAAATGATCAACTGACGGATATCTTCACTAAACCACTCTCCAAGCCTTATTTTCTGGATTTAAGGAACAAACTAGGCCTCTATTGTGATCCCCGACCAAGTTTGAGGGGAGTAATAAATTAGATTTAAATTTCATAAAGTGATAAACCTCTTGTAACTTAGGAGATATGGTTTAGCTGATAGATACCAATCTCTTTATGGTCAGATCTTCTGTTACTGTATACATACCCATTAAGTGGGTTAAATACATTTTGTAATGTTTCTATATAAGTTAAATACGATGCTCTCTCTCACTCATAGTGAGACAGATTTCCTCAAAATTCTTTAGGTCAGTGGTGTATGTATTGTCAATATTGCATGTTCGCGTAATCCTTTAGATTTTTCATATTGTTTGAATTTGGGTAAAGGTTGTTAGGGATGTATTAAATGAGTGGTGAAGGCAGGGATTCATGGCAACTTTTGGGGGGGGGGGAATGGGTAATGATGTAGACTTTCAATTTCATTCTTTGTCGTCCTATTCGCTCAACTTAACATGCATTTTAGAGTGTTGTGTCGGCGATAAAAGCACACATTTTGAAATTTGAATTTGAATTCAATTAATCAAATATAAATCAATTTTTTTTGTTATTCATGTTGAAAGTCAAACTCATAAATATGTTTTATTAAATCACGTAAATGAATTGAGTAAATAATTTTTAACAAGGGAGGTGGCGGTTGATAGAGCCCAACATGTGGGCCCACGACCGCCTGAAGGACTGGAAAATGGCAGCTACATTCGCCACGTTAGAAAGAAATAAGTTGCAGCAATCAAAAGGTGGCGTCACAAAGAGGATAAGCGTCGATGAAGGGCGGCTTACTACCAGCCACACACACCGCTCATTTTCTAGACCGAATATTCAAGCTATTTATATATTTAATCAAACCTCACTGTTTTTTTTTAAACAGTATGCACATTGCGAGGGTAATGAAATTTGAACCATAATTTTAAGGTCCAACGGGAGAGTAATCGGCCATCACGACATTACGGAATCCTTATCAAATTTTAATGTTGAGTAAACATGATTTGTATTTTTGGGTTGGTGATTGAGCGTGATATATATATATATATATATATTTTTTTTTCTGATAACTTATTGCCATACTAATTATTCATTCTACTAAACCAAAATTTTCTTAACAGTAACACAGTTCAATTTGAGATTCAAGAAAATAAATTTTTAGATTTTTTCAAGATTAAGTAGATTTGATAATTATAACTATTGATTTCACTATGAGTCCCACTATTTATTGGAATCCACTACCTATTAATTTTACCCACTTGATTCCACCAAATCCTACGCGTTTATTAAAAAATGTTGAAGAATCAAGACAATATAATCTACTACAAGAAAAATATGTACAATGAGATTTCTTAATAGAGATTAAAAGCAAATGAACTATTGCAAAATAGGTCACAAAAAGCATTGTTTTTTCACAATTGCTTCGTTTTTTAACAAGGCAAAGTGATATAAAATGATCATTTCGTGGAAACGAACCCAAAATTTTTATATAAATTTTGAGTTAATAGGTTAAAGTGTCTGGCTAGTGGTTATCTGTCATGTGACATAATAGAATACTAAACTGATTAAATTTTGAAATCAAATAAAGAGCCCAAATGACATGGCAGCTGACTTGACTTTTTTATTTGGTGTCATGTTATTTGAGCCCCAATAAAAATTTAAATAATATACTGTCATATCATTTGAGTTCTTCATTTGATCATAAAATTTGATCAACATAGCATTAGTGGACATAAAATTCAGACCAAGTGAGATGGAATAATTTGTTTAATGTCAAAACCACAAAGGAAATATACCAACACACTACCGACAAGTGAGGAGCCATTTTTATACTTCAAAAAAAGACTTTGCATGTGTATACATACGTAGGGGTGCAACTTGGGTTGAGCAACCTGATTTTAACTCGAAAAAATTAGGACTTGGATAAGAATTTTTAATATTTGGATTGGACTTGGGTTAAAAAATCTCAACCCGAATTTAATTTGGGTTGGGCTCGAATTCACGAGTTCATATATATATAAAGCATTAGCATTGATTTTTTATTTTTATTCTATCGTTCACTGTCTCTCTCGTTCATTTTCATTTTTGTTCTAACATTAGCATTGTTAAAAACTAGGTTGATAATTTAGATGAATATTATGTAATATATGTATTAGGTTTAGAATAATAGGCCTATTTTGGGCTCTACTCGAACTCAATCCGAATTGAACCCGTAAAATAACCCGAAATTAGTCCAAAATCATTAACCCGAATTCAATCCGAGCTCGCCTGAATTAAACTCGGACAATGTTGGGGTTGAGTTCCTCAACCCGAGATAGGGTTATAATTGGAGATTATAGACTTAGGGTTGGATTAGGGTTGATTGTTCAACCCTCCCAATCCACCGGAGTTGCATCCCTATACATATGTCTATATCTATGAGCCTCACCTGTTGAACACCCTGTGTATCTGAGTCAACCATGAACACCTTCTTCACCCTTTTTCTCGTCCTTCTCCCAATCTTGTTTCTCCTAGCCAGGAGGAGAAGATCATCACAAAGGCTCCCACCAGGATCCCTTGGAATTCCCATCATAGGCCAAAGCCTCACCCATCTCCGAGCAATAAGAGCCAACATTGCAGAAAAATGGCTTGAAGAAAGAGTGAGAAAGTATGGTCTAATTTCCAAAATAAGTGTCTTTGGTACCCCCGCCGTTCTTATTCCTAGACAGGCTGCAAACAAGTTGGTGTTCAATGGCAATGGTGGCACAATAGCAAACCAAAATACAAAGTCGGTGAGGATCGTACTGGGTGATCAGAATCTTTTGGAACTCATAGGCGACGATGTCGTGTCTTCTTGAAGCCAGAATGTTTGAAGCAGTATGTTGGGAAGATGGATGGAGAGGCCAAGAAGCACCTTGAAATGCACTGGGAAGGCAAAGAAAAGGTCACGATATGTTGTGTAAATTAAACCTGCAAATTCAAGCCAAGTAAATGCATTACAAATTTCCTTCTAGTACTATACTTTTGTTGGTAATTCCATGATCAGAACATAAAGATTTCTATAATCGAATTGTCCTATCAACCTGACAAAGATGTCCGTCAATGACATGAAAAGAACATCAGAAGGATGCCAATGTTCATCCCCCCTGAACATCAGAAGGATGACAATGTTCATACCCCCCGCCCCCCGCCCCCAATGGATTAAGAGTTTTTGTGTTTGTCTTTTTAATGGAGAATCATTCCAAGTACACATGATTTGCAAACCTCAAATGCGAGCTTTCATCTGCAAACAACTCACATTATTAGACTCGTATTTTATAAGAAGAGATGACATGAGGGTTGTCGGGTTGAGTTTTGCTATTTTCCACTGCAAAAAGTTTCCTCATACAAGAGAAAAAACACAAATCAATCGTGTGCTAACAGAGCTCTTGGTGTTTCCTATAGGTGTTACCTCTAATGAAGACATTAACATACGACATAATTTGCACCCTTTTATTTGGACTAGAACGAGGACCTCGGAGATATGAATTTGTCAAAAACATCTAGAATTGTTGAAGGAATATGGTCAATCCCAGTCAGCTTGCGCTTCACATGCTACAATCACAGCCTCCGAGCTAGTGCGAGGGTTCAGAAAATGGTGAAAGACCTTATAGGTGAGAAGAGGGTTGAGTTTGAGTAGAAAAGTGCTTCATCTCACCAAGACCTCATCACCTGCTTGCTCAATATGGGTGGGTAAGACAACAAAGAATTCATTTCTAAAAATGAGATTGTTCATAATATTATGCTTGTCATGACTACTAGACATGACACTTCATCCGTCCTGATTACTTTTGTTGTCCGACTGTTTGCTAATAATCCAACTGTACATGCAGCTGTTCTTCAAGGTATATAAGTCCCCCCCCCCTTTTCTCTCTTTCTCTCCGTGTGTTTCAAGCATTTTTTCATGTTGGAGGGATTCAATCCCTCATTGAATGAGCCTCTTGGAGGCCACTCGAGCAAGGTTCATGATGATCTTGAAAGATAAAAGATGGTACAAAATCATATCGAGCCTTTTGATTAATTTCATTATATAGAGAGATTCAGTACATTTAAGTATAGAAAACTAGCTGTACAAGAGTTGTACAAATCTGTCAGTTATATCCACTAAGGTATCCTACATTACAGTACAAAGAAATCCTAAATTAGTCAAGTATTGTCTGGAGGATCCAGAGAATCAACATGAAATATGGCAGAGGATTCTGTAGTAGAGGATTCTGCAATATCTCTAACATCTCCCCACAACTTGAGGGGCGGTGAGACATGCAGTTTGGACTTGAGATAGAGAAACCGAGCAATAGTGTGACCTTTGGTGAAGATATCTGTAATTTGTTCCATGGTGTTGATGTAGCGAAGTTCAAGATCACCAATTGTTACCTTCTCACGAACATAGTGACAATCAGTTTCAATGTGTTTTGTCCGAGTGTGAAACACAGGTTGGAAGCTAGAGCAATAGCACTTTCATTGTCACAACACAAGATTGGAGCAGAGCAGAGAGTGACATTAAGATCACGAAGTACCATGCGTAACCAAAACAATTCAGCGGTAGCAATGGCCATAGAGCGATATTCGGCCTCACTGCTAGACTTAGATACCACAGGCTACTTCTTTGAAGACCAAGAAACAAGATTATCACTCAAAAAGATTCCATATCCACTGGTGGATCTTCAGTCATCAGGATTCCCAGCCCAATCCGAATCACAAAAAGCCTGAAGATGAATTGAGTTGGGCGTATAATGAAGACCATGTTGTGAGGTATGTTTGAGATAGCGAAGGACTCGCTTTGCTGCAATCCAGTGAGTTATTGTAGGGGTGTGCATATACTGACAAAGTTGATTAACGGAGTAGGCTATCTCTGGTCTTGTGAGAGTGACATATTGAAGTGCTCCAACAGTGTGTCTATATTCTTGTGGATCAGCAAGGACATCACCATCAAACTTTGATAATTTTGAACCAAAACACATGGAGCATTGTACGGTTTAGCTCCGCCCATATGTAGTCGGTCTAGCAAGTCATGTATGTTTTTGGTTTGTGACAAATGAAGACCAGTATTATTCCATTTAGCTTCAATTCCCAAGAAATAGGACAACAACCCAAGATCTTTCATGGTAAACTCAAGGTTAAGTTTATCAATAAATGAGTAAACAACAACCTCATTATTACCAATAATTATAATGTCATCAACATAGACCAAGATGTAAACAACAGTATCACCAGAGGTAGAAGTAAAGAGGGATGAATCAGCTTGTGAACATGTGAAACCAAAATTTTTAAGAGCTAAAGATAGATGCTGAAACCAAGCTCTCGGAGCTTATTTCAGACCATAAATTGATCGATGAAGTTTGCATACCCAATCTGGATGAGTAAGATCAAGATAATCCTTTGGTTGTTCCATATATACTTCTTTAGTCAGAAAACCATGTAAAAATGCATTTGACACATCCAACTGTCGAGCATGCCACTTTTGAGAGACATCAAGAGCTTGGACAGTACGAATAGTGGTAGACTTGACCACAGGGCTAAAAGTCTCATGATAATCTATTCCATCCTTTTGGTCAAAGTCCTTTGCAACAAGTCTGGCATTAAATCTTTCTATGTTGCCGTCTGGCTTTTGCTTAATCTTATACACCCATTTATTTCGAACAACATTATGACTAGTGGGACGAGGACACAAGGACCATGTACCATTGTAGACTAAAGCATTGTATTCAGACTCCATGGCTCTACACCAATAGGGGTTAGTGACAGCTTGACTATATGTTTGGGGTTTAGGTGGTAGTTGAATTGTGTGTAAGGCAACAAGGGGGTATCGTGTGGAATAATAGGTTTGATAGTTAGTGAATGATTTTGGCTTAAGATTTCCAGTGCGTGATCGAGTGACTATTGGGCAAGTAGGAGGAATTGGTGGCTCATTGGGGTTGATGGATTCAGATGTACTGGTTGCAGGAGGATGTGGTGGTTCAGGTAAGTTATCAGGCTCATGGATATTGACAGTGGTTGATATTGTTAGGTCAAAGTGAGGGTGATGAAGCAACGGGATTATTGGGGTTAGTTATAGGCTGAGGGGATGGACTAGTGTTTGTAGTATTTGGTAAAAGGATATCTGTGCTAAGAGGTAACAAAGAAGTAGAAAACATACCTGCTTGAGTTGACTAATTGTTATTCAGAGGACCATCTTTAGAGGGTTGAGTTGATGCTTCAGACACGAGTAAGTTGGACTCACAAGCAGGAAAACAAGCTTCATCAAATATTACACTGCGAGAGATGTAAACCTTGCGAGATAGGAGGTCATAGCATCTGTATCCTTTTTGTTGAGAGCAATATCTAACAAAAATACACGGAGTGCTACGAAAGGAGAGTTTATTTGGCCTGTATGATCTTAAGAGAGGAAAACATTTGAATCCAAACACACGTAGAGATCGATAATCAGGGTGACATTTGAACAACTTAAAGTATGGTGTATCATGATTAAGAGTGACAAAGGGAAAACAATTTATAAGGTAGACAACAATGAGAAAGGAATCAACCCAGAATGATTCAGGTAAACCTGATTCAGCAAGAAGTGTTAAACCAGTATCAACAATGTGTCTATGTTTACGTTCATCTATGCCATTTTGTTGAGACTTATGAGGACAAGTTAAACGATCATGAATACCATGAGTTGCAAGAAATTATTTAAACTGATTAGATAGGTATTCACCACCATTGTCACTTTGGAATTGCTTGATGGTATTTGAGAATTGATTTTCAACTAAGGCTTTGAATTTGACAAAACATGAAAACAAGTTATGTTTATTGAATAAGGGATACAACCAGCAAAATCTATCGTAGTCATCTATGAATAATACATAATATTTGCATCCACTAAAAGAGAGAACTAGAGATGTCCACACATCAGAGTGAATGAGATCCAAGGGAGCAGTAGACTTTCTTGTTGAATCCGGAAAGGGGAGTTGATGATGCTTTCCCAATTGACAAGAATCACAAATATTATTTAAAGCATAAGTACTTTGAATTGGAAGATGTTGAGATTGTAACAGTCGATTGAGATTGGAGGAAGAAGGGTGGCCAAGGCGTTTGTGCCACACTATTCGTGAAGTGTTAAATCCAAAGAGAGCAGTGAGACACTTAGCTTTATTCTGAGAGATTTGTTGTTGATGAAGAGGATAGAGTCCTTGTTACTGTGTCCCTTTAGCAACACAACCCCCGTCTACATGTCCTTAATTGCATAACCATGATTAGTAATCTCAAACAGGACATTATTATCAACACAAAATTTATTAATTAAGATTAAGTTTGTAGAGGTATTTGGACAGTGAACTACGTCTTTAAGGATAAAGGTCTTATGTGGTGTGTGTAGGGATGTGGAGCCAATGTGTTCAACAGGTAGGAAAGTGGAATTATCTACACCACCAATGGATGTATTACCTTCTGGAGCCTGAGGATGTTTAAGATTTGTCAGATTTGGTGTAACATGGATGTTAGCACCTGTGTCCATATACCACTGATCATTTTGTTGATGAGCAACAGGAGCATGAGGAGCGATATGCAGTGCAGCTAGAGCAGCGAGTTCCTGTGGTGGATGTTTTCCTTGGAAAGCATAATCAAATCGCTTGTAGCAGTCTAGTGCTTTGTGATTGAATTTACCAAAAATTTGACAAGCACATTGTTCACACTGGCAGCAAGAAGATGTGGGTGCAGAGAGGGGTATATTACCTGCCCCAATATTATTTGACCTACAATAGTTAGGCCTTGCATGAGGTGCTGGTGGAAAATGGGGCCTGCGTGGAGCCTTTGAAGAACTAGGTCTGTTTGAGTAGAATGCAACAGGGCCAGTTTCAGGGGTAATTGTCTGCCGATCGAGTTGATCAAGCATCATCTCATAGTTGAGTAATTTAGACTGAAAATCAGCAAATTCATGGTTTGATGTCGCAGGGAAAATGTCAATGGAGTGATAAAGCCAGAAAAATGAGGATTAAGGCCATTGGTGGCATAGGAAATAAGATCATCATTTGAGACGGTTGTCCCATGGCCGAGAGTTGATCTGCAAAAAGCTTAGCCTGGGTCAGATACTAATAACATCCAAGGTTACCTTGCTGCAAAGTATGCAACTGCTTCTTGAGGTGAGTTATCCGAGACCTAGATTGGAAAGCAAATCTAGTTGTAATTGATTTCCAAGCCGCCTGTGAGGTGTTTAATCCATACATAGAAGAAAGTAAGGAAGGTGCCAGAGTAGATAATATCTAAGTGAGCACAGTTTGATCCAATTTATACCACTTGACATATTCTGGATTGGTAGTACCCGTAGTCCTTGTAGCTTCATCAACAAACTGCATAGGAGTCGGTTTAGATCCATCAACAAAGCCAATAAGGTTATGACTTCGAAGTAGTGGCTGAAACGTAGCCACCCATCCAAGGTAGTCATTTGGGCTAGACAGTCTAACATTAAAAGTAGGGAAATTAGGTTGTTGCTTGGAAGAAGAATCAGAGTGTGGCATAGGAAGGTTAATGGCAAAACTAGATGTTTGCGAAGGCTTTAATACCATGAAAGATAACAGGTGGTACAAAATCATACCGAGCCCTTTGATTAATTTCATTATATAGAGAGATTCAATACATTTAAGTATAGAAAACTAGCTGTATAAGAGTTGTACAAATCTGCCAGTTATATCCACTAAGGCTTCCTAAATTACAGTACAAAGGAATCCTAAATTAGTCAAGTATTGTCTAGAGGATCCAGAGAATCAGCATGAAATGTGGCAGAGGATTCTGCAATATCTCTAACAGATCCTATAATGAAAAGGAGAGATGAAGCCTCTTGGAGGCACTTGAAGTCACCTAGGCTAGGCTAATGGTGGTTACTTTTTGTCTTCGAGGGATTCGAGTCAAAATATGAGATGTTTGTTGATTTGAAATTGCAGAACAAGAAGAGATAGCACAAGGCAAGGCCTCCGGAGACTTACTAACATGGGAAGACCTTGCTAAGATGATGTACACATGGAGAGTAGTAATGGAGACCCTAAGAGTGTTTTCTCCCGTATTTGGAGGCTTTCGAAAGGCATCGAAAGACATCGAGTATGGTGGCTACCTCATTCCCAAGGGATAGCAAGTAAGAACAGAGTCCTTCTTAGACCCTGCTGCTAGTTCATTTTCATTCTATAATTGCAGATTCTAATGGGCAGAGCATGAAATTAACAAATTTTCTATCGATAATTAGATATTCTAGGCACCGTGCATGACTCACATGGATGGTAGCATATTCAAAGAACCAACAAAGTTCGACCCTGCATGATTTGAGAACCAAGCTTCTGTACCTCCTTACTTCTTCATTCCATTCAGAGGGGGGCCTCGTATATGTCCAGGATACAAGTTTGCAAGGATTGAAATCCTAGTCACGAACTATCCATTATTTGGTTACTCGATACATATGGAAGCTATGCTGCAGTGACAATTTTGTTAGTAGAGATCCAATGCCAGTACCTACTCAAAGGCTTCCAATCCAAATTATGCCAAAGAAACTACTATAAATTTGATCAAAATATAATAACTACTCAGAACAGGTGGACCAGACTGATCTAAATCATAAATTCTGGCTATGTAAACATCTACAAGATCATGTAAAATTCGCTGATCAGGATGAAGACATTCTGTCAAAGTAATACATAGCACATGCTCATCCAACAATGAATTATATTCCAAAAACAACATTATTCTTTCTGTGATATGAGCTTCAAGCACAAAAGTTCATAGTGATAGGAAATCTCGATTTCAGTATGCAACTGAATTGCTTTCACAATTTAACCCCGTGGTATCTACTTCTTCTTAAGTAAAAGACCAACTAAAAACAGAGTATCTGTGTAAAAAGAAACCAAGCTCCTTCTTTTCCCTCCTCCCCTCCTCTTATTTTTACCCTTTTTTCCACAAACATCAGTAGTATAGCTAAGCAAAAGTGACAATATTATTTCCATTGTATTATCAATGATTGCAAATGCCAGAAAAATAAGAAACAATATTATTTTAATCTACATTATAATTCTCTTTATCCTGCACAAAAATCAAGCTGACATTTTTTCTTTTTGTGATGTAATAGTCAAATTTACAACCAACATCAGGCATGTCACACTATCTTAATTTCGTATCTCGGCAGATGAAAAAAAAAATGCAAACCTATACCTATATTAGCCTTTGGCATATGTCAACTTGAAAAGAAGAAACAATGAAAAACCTTTTAGCAATCCTTTGGGCTGGAGTATTTTGGGGGCAAAGATGGACACCTTTCATTCATATGCGGTAGGGATCCATAGTATTGTATGCAGATAATTCCATTTGGTACTTCCCTCGAATTTGAGAGAAAGGAAGCCTCACTGTGTCTGCATCATTGCACCACTTTAGCAAGCGGCTTGAATTATTTTCAAAGAACTTGAGTGCATAAGCATCTTTTATTTGCAGTTTACAATAACGTAAATATGACAAGGGTTTTACTCCTAGATCGTTCAAAGATTATTTCAAAAGGAGAGCGGCATTAATCTTGCAGTGTGTTTCTTTCCGAAATAGATCTTCAGTTAACTTAATAAGATAGAGAGGCATGGAGGCAATAATGATTTTATCGAGTAAAAAATTATGACTAGTGATTTTGGGCAAGACAATCACATGACTCTAACGAGCTAAATACTGGACCTATGTTTATTGCATTCAAATAAAAAATCTCAAAATACTCCAAATCATTCTTGGCAAACTCACCGTAAACTCAGTAACTTCAATGGAGCTTGCAAGTGCATCAAATAGTACTACTTGTACATTTCAAAAACAAAAGCAACACACTACGTTGACTTCCCATCACTATTTATCCAATCGTCCTGCTCAGGAATCATCAACAATTTACCAAAGGAGGACCCCCGCTTTTCAACTTCCACAAGAACTTCAGGAAGAGAGAGGCCCTGCACAGGACAAAAAGTTAGACTAACATTTAAAAATGACCTGAACAATAAGTTAGAATTTATCAAGACACTAGCTGTTGGAATTGCCCAAAGAAATTAAATTGCAAGTCCGGCTCGCCCATAGAAATTAACATATATGTATGGGTGATGATGGTGTAAATTGGTGTGGATGAGCAGAGGGTATGAATTATGCTTGAAAACTTGGATCTAAGCTACAAGACTGGTGAGGATTGTGTTTAGGATCACTAGGGAATTGGGGTGATTTGTACAATAAAAAATATAGTGGTTCACCAGCTCAGGAGCTCAGCTATTCCACTCTTCAATGGAGGCTCTTGCTCCTTTTATCTTTATTCGTGGAGGATTTGACTTACAGGGTTTCTTCTATGATATCAGATTTTTTTCTTGCCTCTCAAGGAGGCAATGAATAGTATTTATAGCATGATTTGTATCACTAAGGGATCTTTAGCGAGTTCCTTGCTCTTTAACCACGGGATTTTCCTTGATGAAATTTTTCGATGTCAAGTACACCCTTTTTGATGGTTTTTTGTATATCTCCAAACGTGTGAAAACCAAGGTTCTTATCTCTGACCTTCTGAGCTCCCACAAAAGTTGGAAAAAACTTTTCTTTTTTGTGTGGGGGAGAGACTGGGAGTTCAATCCTGCCGATGTGATAAATACTATTCCAATTCCTCGGGGCTGGTCTGCCCCTGAAAACTTGGGTGAGCCTTTTCTTAAGCGAGTTATGATAAACCTTAGTGTCTCTTTTGGCTGACCTTGTTCTGCTGATTTCTCTTTTTAGGCATTAGACCAAAACTCAGTATTGCAGATGAGCAGGTTCTAGGGAATTTGGCAAACTGCAACTCAAAAAGATATTCAGAGCTCATCAAGCCCCAGGTTCTTGTAGAGCTTGGATTCAATTCTCCTAAGGTGAGGGTTGAGAACTTATCCCCTCTTTCTGCTATCAACGTTGAGGAGATAGCAGGTAATGCTCTTTCCATCTTGCCCTTTGCTCTTTACCTTTGCCTCCTCCCCTCTCTCTTTGTTTTTTTTTTAATGTTAGTTATTCCCTGAGTTTCCAGGTTCTTCTTCAATAGAACCTACTGCGAAGGATCACATGGCTAAATTATCCTTGATGAAGAAAAATCAGAGTGGGAATAAACGTAAGGCTGAGGTCGATTTTGGGAGCAACTCGGCCCTCTTAGCCAAAGTGCCAAGGTTGGAGGCTTCTCCCATTTTTCCTCAACTGCCTCAGATGACTCCCTGACCTCCCTCGAGTTCCTTGAAGGTCGTACAAATCCCTCTTTCCCAAAAGACTAGGCTGTCTCCTTCTGGTGGGGCTCCTGAACACAGTTTGGTCCCGGTCTCACCCTTTTCAGCTGAGGTTGAGAGAGCTCTAGAAATGGTTTCCCACATTCTGCCGGGGTCCATTCCTCCCTTTCCAAATGAGGGGCCATATCTGCAACTCCCCAAGATCTACAAGAGTGAAAAAGGGGTGAGTGTTGAGGCAGGTATAAGCTCTCTAATCGATAATGTGGAGCGAGCTGTAGAGGTCATTGCTTCCATTCTCCCAGAATCCGATATTCAACGGGCTGCTACTATACCCCTAGGGACTTCCATATCCACCGCCCTCTTTGCTGCTACTTCTGTAAGTTTTATTATTATATTTTTTATGGCTCTTTAGTTTTCTTCTCATTCCTGTGTTATTTGATCATTCTGACCTTAGTCCCTCTGGGTTGTGCTTACTCACAGATGACCGTCCATGTAAGCGGGTTGCTGAAAAGGATCCAAGCTATGGAAGATTTTGCCTGGGCTTCTAGAGCTTTCGAGCTCAAGGTTGGAGAATTGTCTTTTGAAAACAGTGACCTTAAGGCCCAGGTCTAGGATTTACAAGAGCAAGTGGAGAGGCAGGAGAGGCAGACTTCCCTTAGCAGGGACTTGGAAGCCGAGAAGGAGAGGATTGAGAGTGAGGGAATAAGCTGCAAGGAAGAGCTTAAAAGTATAAGGAGGAGCTCAGGAAGACCTCAGGGGAGCTCAAACAGAAGACAGATGACTGGCTTAAGGCCAATCAAGAGTCCCTTGAGGCTTTGAGCTCTTTCAGGAACATGAAGAGAGAGTATGACATCTTTGCTGAGGCAAGCGATGCTCTACGGGATGAGCTTAAGGTGCAAAGGGCAGCTGGCAAGGAGAAGGACAACCTGATTACCAAACTGGTCGATGACGTCACTACTCAGTGGGCTTCTAGGTGGCTCGCATTTCAAGACAGAGCTGAAGAGATCTACCCTGGACTAAATTTTAACTTCGAACCCCTCATTGAGGAAGAGATTTAGGCAGCAAACTCTGAGGCTAGCGCCATGCCTCCTCCTGCTCCTAATACTTCTTTGGTCGCCCATGAGGTTGCTCCTTTCTCCGCTGATCTTATCTCCCAAGCTTTGGCCTTGAATTCGCCATGAGCTGAAACCGAGGTCCCTGCTTCAGAGATTATAAGGGCTTCGACCGTTGGTTTGGCAGAAACTTCACCAGTTGAGCTTCCAGGAGCATCGACTGCCAAGCTGCCAGTCTTTCCTTCTATTCCTACTGCTGGGACTACAACTACTGAATTGCAGAGCCCTTCACTTACTCCAACTTTAGAAACTTAGGATTTTTTTTTTGGTAACTCTAAGCTCGTATTTTGAACTATAACTTCTGTTTTGAAATGCACATTTGACTCTTAGTTTTTTTGCACTATGGTTGTACTATTGATTCCCATAATTCTGTTTGCTTTTGAGTTGTCGCCCTTACTGCCTTGCTCTATTTTGTTCTCCCTTGCCCCTTGCTTTGAGGAGTACTGAGTTCTCCTTAAATAAAAATGATTGAATTTGGAGAAAATGACTACCCTATTTTCGTTGTCACATCAAGAAGAGTCTTGAAGCAGTTGATCTTAAGGAGATGTTCCAGAAAGCCTATGCAGCCATACGAGCTGGCCTTATCCCTGAGAAAACTGAGAAGCCTCCTTAGGAGCTCAGACAGTCTCCTTAGCATTCTCCTGGCTTATCAACTGCTGAAAAATGCTTGAGATGGGTGAGGAGCATCAGGGAAGTGTCGAAGCTACTGGGGAGGTTTTCTCTGTTGAACCAATTGATAGCAAGAGTTCGAGATTTCTCCCCAGCCCCTCCTCTTGAGTGTTTGCCTG